CACACTGGTGCTATCTAGAGCGCTTGACTATTTTTAAATTTAGTTGTTTTTCTATAAATTTGATCTTTCCAAAATATTGGAGTATTTATCCTTCTGAACTAAAACAAAACTAAATTTCTCAGAAAGCCAACAGGGATTTCTTGGGAGACGGCAAATTTAAAAGCCGGGGATCGGATGAAATGGAAGGAAATGGTTGAGTACCTATGTTCCATAAGTAATGTAACTCTGTCAAACATTTTATGTAGTTTTTCTATAATCGAAATCGTGTTTTTAGATGAATTAATTGCTTTCTGGTAGATTTATATACAAAGTAAAGAGAAAGTCTTGTAATCGTGAAAAAAAAATCGACGTTTTACAGCTACCTGAGTAGGAAAAACATTGTTTTGCAATATTGTCCGTATGTCTGTGTATGTGTGTGTGTGTGCGCGCGGTGTGTGTGTGTGTATGTGTGTGTGTGTAAGCGGTGTGCGGTGCGTGTGTGTGTGTGTGTTTGTGTGTGTGTGTGAGTGTGTGTGCGGTGTGTGTGCTGTGTGTATGTGTGCACGGTGTGCGTTGAGTGGTGTGTGTGTGCGGTGTATGAGTGTGTGTGTGTGTGCGCTGTGTGTGTGTGTTCATGTGTGTGTTTGTGTGTATGTGTGTGTGTGTTTGTGTATAAACACGATAACTTGAGTACCGTTACAGCTAGGTTGATGAAATTTCAAATATAAGTTTTATATCAAAGTTGTAGATCCGTGTCAACTTTTCAGCGATTCCCGATAAACGGAAGTGGAATTTTTGAATTTTTTTAAAAGCCTAATACTTGAGTACTATTTCAGATAGATATATGAAATTTCACATGTTAAGTCCAAGATTTAATTCTCTGCCTTCTGTCAAATTTTGAATTATATCCGTTTTCTCAAAAAACTCATGTGAATTTATAAAGTACTAATAATATTCCGTACTATTATGCATATTTTATTTGGCGTTCACTTGGTGTGCTATTATTTTTTCTACGAGTTTTTATTCTATTTTTAAAAATGTAAGTATTTAAAATGGATTAAAATCCATGTCTATATCCCGAGTTGCCATCCGCTGTTGTTTTACATAAGAACTAGCTGCATACCCGTGCTCCGCAACGGTAAATATTTTTTAAATGTTCCAACTTGGGAACAGAGCAAAACAAAACACAACACAAACAATTACAACACAAACGCAACACGACACAACATAACACGATCACAAAATAAAACACAAACACAAATAAAAACACAAACACAACATAAACACAAAAGAAAACACAAATACAATGCAAACACAAACGAAAACACAAACGCAACACACAAACGCAAAAGACAACAGCCATAACATAAACAGAACTTAAATGCAAAAATAAACGCATAGTGCTCACAGTCTAGCCCGTGGAGCCATATCGCACCATATCCGAGTACCGGCGAACGTGCCTGATTCAGTGAACGACTATAAAAAACCCAGCTTGTCCAGAAACCGAAAGATAGAAGAATAATTAGTGAACAGCGCGTTCTGTGTATAAAATTAATAAAAGGCATATTGAAATATCCGTGTTTTACCTACCATATTGCACTTTATCAATTCATGCATTTTATTTTCAGTACTTAAAATTTTTAAAATTTAAAATTGTGTTTCATGACTAACTCCATTGCGCACCTAGTAAAAATGATAGTGCGGAATTAAAAATTATAATTAGTAAACAGTACGTTCAGTGAATAAAATAAATAAAAGAATGCCTTTTATCAATCCATGCTTAATATAATATTCCAACAATAATATCCTATTACACGTCTGCAGAATTTCCATTCACATTTTGCTAATTATAGTATTCAAACAATAATTCCCTTTTGGAGATTTTGAATTTAAATTTTTTTATTAGCCTGAGTTGAATTTATTTTTAAATTATCTCTCTTGGAAAAGTACAAAACAGTTTAATTAATTATTTTTTTCGACTCTATTATTTTTAACATGTCTCCACTGTTCAAGAAATCTAAACGAAAATAATATTTGACATTAGAATGACTGACACACTACCACCAGCGTTATATTAAAGATAATCGAGAAAGTTTAAAGGAGATCATTCCCGGTTTATTTTTTGTTGAAATAGTGTAAGATAAAACCTATTCTTTACTAATTTTTATCCATAATTTCAATGCAAATTTTGGATTTTTTTAGAGCGTAGATAAGTTTAGATCAAAATTTTAATAAAGCTAGATCAGAGAATCGCGCAAAACAGAGTACGATGGCAAGGTGTGGTTGCGTCCCTAAGCTCAACAAGGGTCCCACAGGAATGAATATGATGATGATCTTAACGTTCATAGTCAGCCTTGTATCACCCCTTTCGCCTTTTGTGTCTGGGCATTGCAGCAGTTGCCTTACCCATTGTCATTAAAATCTATTTATCAAGTGAGATGTTGGTGGCGTCGTTGGACCCAAAGTAAGTAAAATTCCTGCACAATTGGGGACATGTGATTTCTGATTACAAGAGTTTAAAAAAAAATTGATAAAAAACGTTTTAATAACAAGCTTTTATGTAATAATGCACTAAAAAGTAGAAAATAAATTATAGACTACTATTTAAATTACTATAAAGAAAAGCGTGGGTCACTTTAGTGTCTATTGGATACCTTTACTAATATTTAGGAAGAGACCCACGCTTTTCTTTATAGTTATTTAAATGGTAGTCTATAATTTATTTTCTACTTTTTAGTGCATTATTACATAAAAGCTTGTTATTAAAACGTTTTTTATCAATTTTTTTTCAGTACTTTACATGTTTTATTTACAATAGAGTTACATGACTAAAAACCATTGCGCGCCTACTGAACGTGATGGCGCAGCTATTAAACGTGATGACGCGTGGTTAGATAGACATGCCTACTAATTCGGTTAAATTTTAATTAATTCATAAAAAATTAACTAGGCATCCAATTAAGTCAAATTTAATTTCAGATTGCATTGTCTTCATGTCTTGACCCACGTGCCAACTGTGAATAGTATCGGTCAAGTAGAAGTGTCCGAATTTTCACTCCGGCGTTTCGATCTAGACTGACGACAGACTGACGAGGAAGTGAGTTAAATAAAAGCTTGTAAAAACATCATGTGCAAAAATTTCTGTTTTGGTCTAGCTGATCGTCATCTCTGTAGCTCTGTCAGTGTATGTGAGGTGACCGCAGTGTAATCCGCGAAAATAAGGACAAGCTTTTTTTGTTGATATATATATATATATATATATATTATATATATATATATATATATATATATATATATATATATATATATATATATATATATATATAAAGAGAGAGAGAGATGTAAAACATAATATGGGGGCCAGAAAAAAATATACGGCGGTGGGTTGTGGGGCGCTTTGATAAGCTTAGCCTAGGGTGTTAAATAACTTGGCCCCGGCACTGCCAGTGAGAGTTCTGATTATTTTAGTCTGTATTTCCGTGTAAAGATTTTGTAAATTATCTAATTAAAATTGTATTTAAAGCTTGTGTTTCAATTTCCCTCCAGGAAACAATATGTTTTAATACTCCGAATATCCCGGGTTGGGAGTGTATTTGTAACATGTGCAGGTTGGCTACGAGAATTATTACTGTTAAAGACCAACAGATCTTAGGTCTGTATACTACTAATAGTTAAATATAATTCTGATGTTTGGAATGCTGGTTAAAGTCCATAATTTTTAGATTTAAGAGTACAAAACTACTTCATCCTTTTTCTTGTGATTTTATCAGTAGCGTTCATCTTTTGCAAAGACCTGGTCAAAGAAGGGGATAGTGTGGTCGGTATTATGACAAGGTGCCTTTGTTTTCCTAACTTGAGTTATGTACCCATCAAAGCTGGGTGGACTCAAAAACGTTGGACTGACTTGTACCCTGATTGTGGTTTTATAACACAGATTTAAAAAATAGTGAGTTCTCGTGATGGTTGTAGTGTCTGTATAATAACTATCTTGTGTAAACATTTAATGTCGAATAAGATTGTTTTTTTCAAACATACATTACTGTTACATTACGAATACTACAAATAATTATAATTATAAAAATACTGCAAAGTGTATATAGAAGTAAAATTTAATGTTCTATGTAGTGAATATATAATCGTTGAACAAAAGGTAAACAAACGCACAATGAGAAAGACAATAAGAAATACCACCTATTTTTAGATTAGTTACATCACTATTGGCGAACTTATTATCACTAGCTTTTATTTTTTATTCACAAATCAATTGGTTACCTCCTATCATATGACTTTAAAGCAAGTTTAAGTGCTTTTCATATATGAAGATACGATGTTTAAGATCAGCATAAAATGTTGGATATTTGGGTCGTCGGTAGACAACTGGAAGAAGGGAGATTGGAGTAACCGTGTGACGGCACTATAAAACACAGATACTATTTCACAAAATTATTGCTGTCCGACTACATAAGAGTTTCTTCCAGGCATCTCTTCGGGGGGAAAAATTTTTACCGCCCCTCCCTCCCCCCCCCCCGAACGAAATTAAATTAATATAATTTATATAGAAAATATATACTTTTTACAGTGTCCGCCCCCCCCCCCCCCGAAGAAAGTCTACTGCCCCCCCCCCCGAAAATTTCAAGTGCCCCCCCCCCCCCACGGAGAAAAAAGTCTGGATGACACACTGGACGTATACGTATATATATAAATATATATATATATATATATATATATATATATATATATATATATATATATATATATATATATATAGATAGATAGGCATATATATAGACTTAAATATACAAGTATAGATACACATTTACACATTTATATATATATATATATATATATATATATATATATATATATATATACATTTTCATATTTACTTATGTTTATATATACAATATATATATATATATATATATATATATATATATATATATATATATATATATGTGTGTGTGTGTGTATATATGATTGTATATGTTTATTTATATATATATAAATGATTATATATATATCTAGGTCAGACATAGAAGTAAAAAGATAATGTAAAGTCCAACTATAGTTTTGCAGCTGTTGCCAGATCCAGGCTGAGGTGCTGGTGGTGGAGACAGCGGGCACATCAACGGTTTACCCGTTGTCCTTGGCACAGCATCGGCCTGACCATCGTTGTTTGAAATTCGTAGCTGGGTGACAGCGATTGGGTCCCGCAAACCTAACCTAGCGACCAATACACACATCCTTAACGAATCTTCAGATCCATCTAGCAAGTCCAGATTTCCAGCGTCAAAAAGAAAAAACACGTAATGATGTGTTCCACCTGGCGGAGTTGGTGGCACATACCCTGCGGATGATTTTATATATATATATATATATATATATATATATATATATATATATATATATATATATATATATATATATATATATATATATATATATATATATATATATATATAAATATATATATATATATATATATATATATATATATATATATATATATATATATATATATATGCATGCTATTGATTAGCGTTTATATGATTATAATGCACATAAGCGTATGTAAAAGTATAATAGTTATCATTACATAACACATCACGGCTAAGCGACTGCGTGAATTTTATTAGACTCCTCAAGCTAATAGATTTTTCTACTCAATAAAATACCTCAACCTTAAAATGTTCTAATAAATGTACATTTTTCCAAATTATATATATATATATATATATATATATATATATATATATATATATATATATATATATATATCTTCTAATATATAAAGCTCAATTCTGTATGAAACTTTTAATATGTGAAGTGTAAAATGTTTGTCGCGGATACTTCAATGAATTTAAGTGTTAGGTTATTAAAGTCCTTATGGTCTAAATATTTATGAGTTAAAAAATTAATATTGAAAGTGTTGGGAAATAATTTTCATTTTTCAAACTGAAAGTGATAATTGTCGGCATGTTCATTAAACACAAGTTTTAAAAAATATCATCTTTTACAAAAATTCTAATTATGTCTTTATTTAGTCCTTTAGCACTTACTTCCCTTTGATAAATTAGGAAAACACAATTACTTCCCTTTATAAAAAACATTGCATTCGTGGAAAAGAATTAAC